TATGTTTTTGGTGTGTAAGCAAAAGATATGGAAGTAAGAACAAAACGGTAGAAAGATATGGAAGTTATCCTGCTTCCTGATTTTTTGAATTTTGAAATTCAAAATTTCAAAATTTGATCTTTTATTTAAAATTAATTAAATTTAACAATTCAAAATCAAAAAGCTGATTAAAAGGTTGAGTGTTTAAATGGATAAAATTTAAAATTCAAAAACTAATTTAAGAGGTTGAGTGTTTTAATGGAGAAAAAATAGGCATTAAAATTGGTAAATGTGTATTATAGGAGAGAGAGTGTAATGTATCTAAAAAAAAAGGAATTATGTAATATTTAAAAAAAGTAGGAAAAATTAGAGAATATAAAAATTATAGTTGTGTATTTAAGTTATTTTTCCATTTGAATGATAGAAAATCGATAGATGCATAGAATATTGGACAAAAGACAGAAATCACATACTTTTAAAGCAAAATTATCATTTGTCCCTTATAAGTTTATAATGACAAAAATCCCTCAAATGATACAATAATATAAGCGCTGATACACTAATCTTATGCGCGAGATACATTAATTGTTAAGTAAGATACATTACATTTTATACATGATACACTAATCTGATGTACATTTTTTACATAATACATTAATTTGATACGCGAAATACATTAATTTGATTTGTGAAAAACAGGGGATTTTAGAAATTTGTAAAAACTAATAAGGGATAATGGTAATAAGAGAACTTAAATGTGGGATTTCTGTCATTTATCCTATAATATTTTTCACTAATGGGCCTTTGGTCCCGGACTTCGTTGTAATTTGGAAAAATTACATAAATTAATACATTTTCAAAAATAATTGCTGGTTTTAGCGATACTTTTTGTTTATTACCATTTATAGCAATATTGTGATAAATTTGTAAAGTGAACTATGTATGCACTATATTTGAATTATAATTGTTTTTGAAATATATTATGTTTGTTTGGTAAAAAATTACCGTATTATAAGTGTATTAAAATGTGTGATAAATGTATTATCCATCATTAAAACTTGTATTATATGTGAATAATAAACTGTTCTTTGTAATATGCATTAAACTTGTATTATAAATAAATTAAAAGTGATTAAATAAAAAAAATGTTATTGCTATAAATGATAAATATTTTTTTATTATGATATATTTATAGTATTAAAAAATATTATCACATTGTATATTTATGTAAGTTTTCCTTGTAATTTGAATGAAATTATATCGGATTGTGACCCATGAGACAAGTGTATTGGGCTTAATGGGTCGGGTTTTGGTTTGGTGGGCCAAAAATACCGGAATACTTCTTTAATCATCATTTATAAATTCGAAAGTTTGAGTCAATTATCAATAAAGTGTAATGTTATCTATTTAATTTTGATATAATTATACAATAGATTGATTACATTTTATTATTTATATGTATACTTATAATGTATACTATAAACACATATATAATAGAATAGTTGCACTATTTTATATATATACACTAAATATACACGCAATATATTAGTTTTTGTCAATTTTTCAAGATAATATGTATATATACATAATTTTTTTCGAAATTAACGCGTGCATGTGCGCTTTCACTTATAGGTGCAGGTCCACCTTTGATCGAATAGAATTTTCTCATTGTGTTTATATCAAATTAATAAATATATATTATGTGTTTACACATATATCTTTTTCAATTAAATACAATAACATATACAAAATTATTACCTTGTTAAATCACTTATGTTGATTTAGTGTAACTTTATATAAATACCTGATAAGATAAATTTAAAAATATGTTATTGTTTAGTTGTATTAATTGAAATCTCCCACACAATTATTGTGAGTTTAATTCTCATTATTTCCCTTCCTCCTTTCTAATCCCTCAATGTAATACTAACAAACTTCATTATTTTCTTGATCCCTTAATGTAATATGTAAAATTCAAAATTATTTTCTTTTATGAATAAATATATATGAATCGATAATTATTTTTCGGCTTAAGTTAGTTTTCTGCATTTTTTAAGACCAACAAGGAATAATACATGAATATTCACATTTTCTTACAACTTATAGTTGCAAAAGAATTTTACAATAACATTAACAATAATATACTCAATATAATTTTACAGATAATAAATTAATTTATGTGTAAAAAGTATTTTTCTTAAAACAATAAAAATACATTTAAAACATGCTTCTACATTATTGGTCCAAACTATCAAGGATTGAAAAAATATTATTCTTTTTGAGTGCAGTCATGCAACACTAAATTAGATTCAAGTCATTTTCCTCGTTAGCTCCTCATGTGCTAACATTCATGTATCCAAGTTATATAACCTAGTTGATACCAAAATTCATTTTTTATTCATAATTTCGTATATTAATAAAGATTACGGTGAAATGATAGGATTTTTTTTAATGAGAGATTTTGATTCGAGAGTCTTGTATATATATATAATTATTTTATTAAAAAATATTTTATTTAAATATAAAATTTTATAACATGAATCTAGGATTAGACAGATATTCGATAAATGTATATTGGTGAATAAGAGGAAGTTGGGCGGAGAATCTCTTGCCTCCAATTCTAAGAGGTTATGTATTCGAATCACCAAATGAACAAAAAAGATGAGAGACCTTTAGAAAGGGGCAAATGAGATGTATATGAGTGTCTAATTAAGATCCGTAGCCTAAAGTCAACTTTAACATAAAACCTTATTATTATATTTGTTCAATATATTTGTTGTAAAAGAATCAAACTATATAAATCTGTTATAAGTAAAAATGAACCTCATTCTCAGTTACGCTTTAGAATGGAAAATATCTAAATAAGCTTAAAATATCCTTAAATTATCGGAAATGGTATACAACTACTATTCATTCGCCTATTGGCTACCAAATACCATTGTTATCCACCTACTGTCTCTCAAGTACCCTTGTCATCCATATTTAGGTTCAATATTGATCACTTTTTATAACGAATTACCATTTAAATAACTTTTAAAAATATGTGACGATCATCTATTGATTACAATTAATTATTTAAATTGATTTATTAACCCACCCATTACTAATTGTACTTGACCCATATTAACTACACCAGACCCAAATTAACTGTACCATCGCCAATTATGTTACCCGCTGATTAAAACAAATACACACTTTATTTCCAATATTTTACTTTGTCTTCCGACCTTCTTCCCCAATATAGTAGCATATGATCTCGAAAAATACTACCTGAATATACATATGTATGGTGATATATGAGTATCTTTAAGTAGTGTTTTTTGAGATCGTAGACAAATATATTTGGGAGATAGGTCTGAAAAAGAAGTGAAATGTTGAGAATGAAATGAGTATTTGTTTTAATCAATGGATGTAGTTAATTTGGGTTGATTTTAGTTAATTTTGATCTGGTGATGGATGGATTTGTAAATTAATTTAAGTAATTATATTGTAATCAATAGATGGTCACCATTTATATAAAAAAATTATTTAAATTATAATCAGTTATAAAAGTGGTCAATATTTGACTCAAATGTGAATGACAAGGAAATTTAGGAATCAATAAGTGAATGACAAAGACATCTGGGAGTTAATAGACAGATGAATGGTAGTTTTGTAGTATTTTCAATAGTTTGATTCTAGGTCTTTTTTTCGAGATCATTAAGATGTATTTTTGTGTGAATAATCTTCACCATCACGTTGTCCACACAACCACCGGCCATCACCAATAACCACTTCTTAGTGGCAGAGTCAGAAATTTTATTAAGGGTATCCAAGAATAATGGTGTTTAGCTGTCAATATTTTTTAAAAAATTGTGATATTTCGGGTTCAAACCTGAAGCTCCTTCATTCAATAAACACTCATTACCATTGTGCCAAAGACATAACTTTTGTCAAGGGTGTCCAACTATTAAGTGTATATTCTTTAAATATAGAATTTAACATATATATACAACATAATTTTCCTATGACTCGAGCACCCTCGAACTGCCACCTCTGCTTATCACAATAACAATTGATGTGGCCAATATAAATCACCACTATCAGCTATATTTGTCATCACAATCACTTTAACAGCCCTTTACCATATCCAATTATTACCGTCACTCTGTTAGTCACTAAATATTTATCACCTTCATCGTTATAATTATATTCATGGCCACCACTATGAGTGTCACTACATTTATCAAACACACTCACTGTTGCAACCAATCCCTACTAAGTACTACTAACTATCACCTTACTCACAATTAACACCACACCAACTACCACCAACATCACTGTTATCTGTCACACATTCTTCGTACATCATTTATTCTAACACTATATCAATTTCTAACACCAATCCATTTCACCATCACAATCACAACACTATATCAACTTCTAACACCGACCCATTTCACCATCACAATCACCGTCATTACTATCATATCAGTCACTACAACACTAAACATCTCCACTGTCATAATTAACACGCACTAACTATCATCAATCACTACACATATTTCAAACACCACCACCAAATACTAGCAATAGCCAACTCCACCTTCCAACCACCATCAATACTATTAACTGTTACCATCACACGTCAGTCACTATAACATCAATCAGCTCCGTCAACATGATTTTTACTATCCACCAATAAATTTTTTTATTAAATTATAATCTTATTCTAAAATTATATATATTTAATGATTCGATATTTGATACTTAGACATATAAGATAAATAGTATCAAATGGGAAATGGAGAAAGCAATAGTATGAAAGGGAGACTCACTGACATAGTCTTCTTTCCACACTTTGATACCTCAAAAACTTCCAAGGGAACTTTTTTTCTGTCACATTGTGACACATACCTAAAAGCTTATAGCTACAAACAGCCTACAAAGGCTATAGTGTTGTGTAGTGCCATAAATACGGGGGAAGAATTATATAATATAGTATTATATATTAATACTACAATAGAGTAGGAACAATAAATTATACAAGTAGTACTATTACTAGTAAAGACTAAACCAGTAGTTTCCCTAGATTGAGCTAACAGTTCAGCAATCTATCACTTTCTATAATCTTCCTTCAAATCTTTTGAGGGACCCTCTTTCTTTCTTTACTGCTTTGAATACTTGAACAGAGTCTCACTGAAAAAAAAAGAGAAAGAAAGATCTGTACCTAAAAAGCTGCTTGATTTACTGTGCTTTTTTCCTTTAGGGTTTCAAGATTTTACTTGGGAATTTGAAGATCTGTTTTAGTTTTGATGTAATTAGTTGGTTCTGTAGTTTCTTTGGAGAAAAGGGTGTTTTCTTGATTTTTTTTCAGTGATCTAGGACAAGTATGAAGGAGCTGACATTGGTGGTGTTTAGTTGTGGAAGTGGGGTTGGATAAGAAATATGTTTGCCTGCTTCTTGGTTTTTGTTTAGGGTGGGGGGTGGGGTGGGGGTGGGGGGTGGCAGACTAGTGCTAAAGTTTTCATCTTTAGCTTTCTTTTAGCTCTTTTATATATAGTTGGGGCTTTTCCTTTTCAACTTTTTTGTGAGTTTGTTGATTTGAGGGAATGAAGGTATCTACTTCTGGCTTCAATTCTCAGCCTGAGGAAGGTGTGTTTTGTTTCTGCCTTGTTAATTTTTGTCATTTTTTGTTTATTGAGCTTGAACTGAAGTATTGTTGTAATGTATGGTGAGTAATTTTATTTTTTTAACTTGGGAGTGAACATTTTTTGATGTTTGATTATGGCAGCAGGGGAGAAGAAAAGCCTGAATTCAGAGCTGTGGCATGCTTGTGCAGGGCCACTGGTCTCTCTTCCACATGTAGGAACCAGAGTTGTGTATTTTCCTCAAGGGCATAGTGAGCAGGTTAGTAGTAGAACTTATATTTTTATGAAATGGGGATGGAGGAATGGAAAATGGAACCAACTGATCTACTAAAATTCCCCGCGGTAGAAATTAGTTTATGCCATAAACTCATAAAGTTAATTAAAGCATAGGTCTTTGACATGGTTGGTAGTAAATTCTTATGTTCTGGTTCTTCATGGTGATGCTCCATTTGAACTGTAAACTTCTTTTTTTTCCTTTCATTTAATGGTGAGCTATGGGTATAAATAACCTATAAGATTTAACTTGTGCCTCATGAGGTATGCTGCTATTTTGTAATTTTGATGTCTGTCTGTTATGCCTTCTGGGGTCTTTGAGCTTGTAGTTGAAGGGGTTAACTATGTTTGCATTTCCAGGAATGTTGTGCTTGTGTATTTTTGTTAGGGTGATGCCCATACGTGTCGGAAGTAGGTGTAGGACATAAATCTTTCTTTCTAAATCTGGAGAACCAAGTAATTCCAGTGGCATTATACATCTTGGCAAACAGAGCCGAGCTATGTTATGGATAAAAACATTATTAAGTTGTTGATACAGTTCTGTTTTATTAATTTGTGAGATTCTTTCATCTAGCTGTTTCCTAGATTTGATCTTGCTCTTGATATAAGTGTGCATTATTTGGAATTAAGATGTGGCTAGTTTTCGATGCAACAAAGAATAGAATGATCCATTGGATTCCTACAACTTCTCTTATTTATTGGTGAAATGACGTTGGTTGAAATACTTGGTACTGGTTTTTTAGTTTGTGTAGCTTGTAGACTAGTGGTTGGCACCTTAATCTTTATGAAAGTCTTACAGGTTGCGGCATCCACAAACAAGGAATTAAATGGTCATATCCCTAGCTATCCTGGATTACCACCTCAACTTATTTGTCAGCTACACAATGTGACCATGGATGTAAGTTTTACCCTATTCATTGTCTTTGTTGTGACAATCATATGTTTTGGAGTGTTATCGGTGGGTAGAGATTGAAGAATTTCTAAATTACAGGCAGATGTTGAGACTGATGAAGTATATGCTCAAATGACTCTGCAGCCACTAACTCCAGTATGTTACATTTATCAATTCATTCGTTTTGTTTCAAAATTATTTGTAAGTGTTAATTGACTATTTCTCCATAGCAAGAGCAAAAAGATGTGTGCCTTCTACCAGCTGAACTTGGGACCCCAAGTAAACAACCAAGTAATTATTTCTGCAAAACATTGACTGCAAGCGATACCAGTACCCATGGTGGATTCTCTGTCCCTCGACGTGCTGCAGAAAAAGTTTTCCCTCCTCTGGTAGGTCCCATCAGTTGCACTCATCAGCATTTTTTCCCTTTTTCTTTTTACTTGAGGTTACTTGAGGTGTTTCATGAGCATTGGTTTTTAGTTATCCTGCTTGTGGGTGTTTGACTGACTTAAGTTTTATCTTTCTTTTGTAGGATTACTCGCAACAGCCTCCTGTGCAAGAGTTGATTGGTAAAGATCTTCATGGAAATGAATGGAAGTTCCGGCATATATTTCGCGGTGAGTTTCTTTTCAGAGAGTTGATAGAGTAGTATTACAGTGGAAGGCTTTGTTACAATGTTGTCATGGTGGTTAGTACCTTGATTTAAATTGACTATCTTGGAAGTTCTTAGGGATTTTATATACCTGCATTATTGTATAAAGTTTGAATTTACTACATTGTGGAGGGAAGTTTATGATGCAACCAATATACTTACTGACCTCGGATTCTTTCTAAAAACTAATTCTGAATACCTTGTGTTACCATTCAAAAAAACAAAAACAAATTCTGAATGCCAATTCCCAGCTGTAAAACTGATCTTACTGTGATAAATGCGATGACTACACCAATGGATGAGTGACTCAGTTCCCTGGCCGAATGGACCTTCTGCAGAGTGAGCTAGTGACTATATAATATGTTGTACTGGTGGTTAAAACTCTGTTAACCTTACCAAGAAGCTTCACCCTTTTCATTTAGCTTCTAAAGCACTGAAAATGACACAAAGAAAAAGTTGCATATTGAGAATTTATGTTTATCTCTTAAATTATATGAAGAACCTAGTGCAGTAATGTATGATTGTTTTGACTTAGGTTCTGTTGTCTCTTTCCTCTGACGTGGATTCATTATGGATGCAATCTGATTTTTTTCCTAGTTATTAG